TATGTGCCAAGTTTTCTGCTAAACTCTGAATATATACTGGTGATGTTCTGCCCCTACTGTCCAGGGGAGGCTGTAGGCAGTTAACAAGTAAATTAACCCATAAATAAGTCTACAGTGACAAACGTGAAAAGACAGAAATTAGCAGAGTGCTGTGATAGAATATCAGGGAAAACTCATTTAGAGAAGGTGGTCAGGGAACCCCTGGCTGGTGGACTGACAGTTAAGATCTTAAGGATAAAAGGGATATTACCACTTGAAAAGCAGAAGGAAAGAGGATTCCAGGTGAAGGGACTGGAATAGATGATTAGGCCACAGACCAGAGTGGGCAAGGCGAGGTTGGAGAATGGGGCAGGGTCATCCAGGGCCTTTTAAGCCAAAGCAAGAAATCAATTTTGTCCAAAGGACAGTGGTTAGCCATTGCTGGAATCTAAGCAGGGGAGTAATGTAATCAGTGTTACTGCAGAAAGTCTCTTTATTCCCAAGCCAGATAGCAGGAATGCTACCGTCAGACCCCCAGTATGGGCGATAAAGGTCTATGGCAATCCACTTCTGAGGGTGTGCGAAGATGCCAGCATCACTCCTCCTTTCCCCTTAGAGGGCTGGGGCTGCAGAGGGCAGGGCGGGAACTGAGATGGCTGTGGCCGCTTAGGTTGCTGTTGGAGCATGGGCCTCAAGAAAGGCCTCCAGACATGATATCAAAGATGAGTCTAGAATGATGATTGATGTTGGCCAAGTAAACAAGGTAAGACAAAGAATTCTAGGCAAGAGGGAGTAAACTAGGCAGACATTCAGAGGTTAAAGCATGCATGTTATGAAAATGAAAAGTAGTTCAGTGTGGTTAAAGCGTGGTGTGTACAGGCGTGAGGAGGGAGGAGGAATGAAAGACATGTGCGATACAGTGAAAGGTAGAAGAGGTAGATAATGGAGAGCATCTCATGCCAGGCAAGGAAGTTTGTGCTTTCTCCAGAGGACAATGGGGAGAAGCCATTGAAGGGCTTTAAGAAGTGGGAGTCATAATCAGAGTTAGATTGTAGAAGAATCACTCAGGAAAGAATGCAGAAAACCTAATTGGAGGGGTTAAGATTTCAAGCACGAAAGTAAATTCAGAGGCCAAACCTCTAATCCAGGCATTTGAAGGTGATTTGAATAAAGTAGTAGCAGCTAAGCTGGAAAAAACTAGTTACAGGGATATTTAAAAGGAATCGGCAGGTCCTGGTAAAAGATTAAATTTGGGAGCTGAGGGAAAGAGGTGAGTCAAAAATGATACACACTCTGACTGTGCCTCTCAACTGGTTGCTTGGGCAACCGCTTAAATGAGATTGGCTTTGTTTAAACCAAGGAACAGCGAAGGAAGAATCAGTGTATCAGAAAAGATGATGTGTGTCCTATTAGACATTTTTAGTTGAATTGCCTTTGAACATCCAAGAGGAGGCGTTTCAGTAGTATTCAGATACTTGACCTGGAACTCATGAAAGAGAAATTGGCAGGAGATAAGGCCATATATTTGGAAGTCCTCAACTCTAGATGGTATCTGGAACCATAGGAAGAGGATGGGATTATCCAAGGGTAGATAAGGAGTAAGAAAAGGGCCAAAGACAGATCTTTGGAAGATTTCACATATCTAAGAGACAAGGAAAGAACCAGTCAGAAAGGAGGTAGGAAAATCAACAGAGTATAATGTTTTGGAAACGAAAGAACAAATGAGGAAGAAGTGGCCAAAATGATGTAAAATGCAACAAAACAAAACAAAACAAAAAAAGGTCCATTGTTCTTAACAAAGAGGATATAGTTCCTCATAGTGGGACCAGTTGCAGGAGAATAGGGCAGGCAGAATGCATGTTGCATTAGGTTAAGAAGTAAGGAACTGGAGACAGACAGTATAGATGCTTCTTTTCCAAGACTTTCTCTTACTCCTAGAAAGTGCACTCATGTCTCTTGTTATACCATGGGTTCTGATTTTTGGTTTGAGAGTATGGTGACCATACTTCTGGGCAGCCTATGAGTCCAAAGAATTCAGTGATTTATGGAGAGGGAGAGTAGATACTCCAAAACTGTTGTCTGCATTTAAGATTGTAAGTAATAAACTCTGAAAAAAATCTTCATTGACTCTTGCATTTTTTTAAAATCTAGAAATGAGTTTCTTGTGATGGCATGGAAGAGGGAACTATTTATGAATAACCTAGCATTTTACAGCGCTCAGGGCTCTATGTTTAATCTTTGTAGCGACCTATAAGGTGGAGAGTATTAGCCCCAGTTGCAAAAGAGTAAATGGGCTCAGAGCAGTTCGGTGTACCTGATCACCCAGCTGGTACCTGGTGAGTCACTTTATGGTTGTTGAAACTGTATTTTCTTTATCTTACCCAGTGGAACCTGGACAGTAAGAATTTCTCCCTGTGAGACAGGATATATTAGCCTGGGGCTCATGAGAGAGAGGGAGAGCGATCCACTTGGGATCATAGTTAATATTCGATTCCCTGGCTAGAAGAGGCCAGGCTGCCATTTGAGAAAGAATTGATAAAACATGCAAAATGAAACAAAGTCAGAACCAAAAAAGGCATCATGCAAGGTTAAAATTATGTGACTAATGATGTGCATTAGTTATTTTAATGTCTTCCAAGTGCATTTCATTTTGAATGATATACTCAGATAACACACGGTATAATTGAAAAAACATGTAGGAGAATGGCTGAATTCAAAGAATAAACATACAGCTGCGAGGAGGTTAGGAGTCAAAGGGATAAGCACATGCCCCATCCCCCAGGGATCTCATTAGTGCAAGAGTGACCATATATGTAGAGGCTAAATGAATCTCACTGTTTGCAAAGACCCGCAGTAAATGAGACAATGACGAATCAATAGTAATTAGGACTATAGGTTCTTATTGACCCAGATGTCTGAAACCAAATGCCCTGCTCTGAGATTCCTTGAGAGGCAGAATGAAAAGATTTATAGATGTGCGCTTCTTTAAAAAAAAAAAAAAATTTCTTTAAGAGCAGTGATGCTATTCTAAAGTGGAAAGTTGCTAGAATTAGTGTAGACTCTTGACTTCTAGCTGGAAAGGATATTCTCCGGACTTGCATTGTGAATGTGATTCCTGTTGGATGAGGAGCAGAGAGAGCTGGGAGATAGAAAACCAGGGTGTGATCCTATTCTACCAAGGAGGCCTCAGAGGATCCTTCCCTAAAACCATAGTAGAGTCAGTCTAAAACAGTTCGAGTGTGAGGCTTTGATGAATAATTTCTGACCTGAGATACAGACAGCACATGCTTCAGAATCACTCAGAGATGGGTTTAAAGTTGGACTCAGTCCTGTCTCTTCACCTCTTGGAGCATTATCTGTAAAGGGGTGTTGGCGATACCCTCTCATTGTGCAGTAGTGGAAGGCCTGGTGTACTCAGTGAATGGCAGCTGGTCTTGCAGTGGTTGCTCAGCCTTTTCCAAGTACTATCTTATTCCTCCTAATATGATCTAAGGCAGAACATTTTTTACAGATGGGAATGGGGTGTTACAGCGATAAGCAACAAGACTGCTAGTAGGTAGAGCTGCCCTCGCCTCCACCCCAGCACACATCTCTCACACACATGCACACACTCTCACATTTACACACACTCTCTCCTGCTCACACAGAGCAGTTTTGCTTTTCTATGTTTTTTATATTGCATTTCCATATAAAATTTTTGTTTAATAGAAGAGTTCCACTGGTAGAAGGGAACAAAGAGAGTTTTAAAACCACGGTTCTACTTGTTTGTTTGTTTGTTCCCTTACTCTTGGTTTAGAAAACTTTCAACAACTTCACAAGATCCACGGGGACACTGGTGGTGACACAAACTAGAACCTGAAATCACTGAGCCTTACTTCTAAAACATTTTTAAAATGCAAAACATAAATAAGTCTTAGGTATCTTAGATGTTAACCTCCTTTGGACATTGATTTCCTATACTTTTTTTCCTGCCATTATTCAAGCTGTGTTTTTAACCTTTAAAAGAGAGTTCCAAAGGGCCCCAATGGGAAGTCGCACAGATGCCAACCTCTGAAATACACACTTTCTTTTGGCATCATTGGTTCAGAACTTGAAGAGGCTAACCAGCTTTAATTTTTGTGCCATGCAGTAAGATTTAACCCAGTAAGGTAGGTATCATTAAATCTATTTTATGAAAGGGAAAATTGGAGTTCAGAGAGGTTAAGGCACTGGCCCGTGTTACCCAGCTAGGACAGACAGGAACCAAGATCTGAACCCAACTGTGTTCTCAAGCCTGTCATCCTCTCTCTGTCTCCTTCTTACCTGAACATGTGAAGAATGAGGGAGCTGGTCTGACACCCTCCATTCTACATATGAAGAAACTGAGGGTTAAAAAGGAGAAAAAACACATATTGTCCTTTGTTGGGTTTAGGATGAAAATCAAATCTCCGATTCCTGATCCTAACTGCATTCATAGCATTAATTCACTTCCCTTAGCAAACTCCTATCCTGAATCTGGGATCTTATATTTGTCTGTATTTGCCATCTCATCCTTATAATTACAATTACGAATACTGATTTTAATAAAATTTTTACATATGTACAGTATCGTAGAGTTTACAAAATACTGTATCTTCATATACTTAATCTTCTTTGATCTTCACAGTAACCCTGGGAGGTCAGTTGGACAGAGATTTTGATATCTGTTTGTACAGATGAGAAGAAGGTGATTCAAATTGAATAACTCTCACGGTTATACACCTACTAGGAGTAAAGCCATTCCTGGGTCCAATCTTCTGACTGCAGACCTTTTTCCTTTCCACTAGGACATGGCACCGTTTTTTGGTGATTGTACAAGCTGACGTGAGAGTGTAGTAAACTAGTTTCTCTGGGTGTGGAGTAGTTCCTTTGCCGAAGCTTTGAGACCCTGCTTACTTTCCTGGGCCTATTATGGAAGTACAAATGATTTCTTTCTACAGAACGATTTGCTCCCCAACCCTACCCTCCTTTTAAAAATGAAATAAAATCCACTTCTCTTCCAGATGCCAGAATATATATGCATATTTGAACAGTCACCTGGATCTGATTAAGAAGGCCCGGCCTGTGGGTTTCCTCACTGTTGATTTACATGTTTGGCCAGATTTCCATGGCAACCGGTCTCCCTTAGCAGATCTGACACTAAAGGGCATGGTAAGTAACAGCCAGTCCTTGCACGTAGGTGAAGGCAGGCCAAAGGGCCACAAAGTCTGGACGAAGCAAAGGGAGGAGCAAGGAAAAATAAAACAGGCCACCAGCCCACTGGCTTTTTGCAGTTGTGTTGCTGTTGTGAAGGCTGTTGCTGCTCCCCACGATGACCTGCTGAAAGTTTTCATTGTTTCTGCGCCAACCTTGAGAGCGTTGAAAGCAGTGTTTCCTATGTTTAGCTACTGCTGCCTCTTTGTCCCATGGAGTGGTGGAACGTCATACCTATGTAATTTTTGTATTTACGTCGGTTCTTAAAGTCATGTTTTCCAACTGCATCTTCAGGTTGCCCAGTAAATCAGTGGTAAATATTACCACCCATTGTCTTGCTGACCACAGCTACACATCTGCCTAGGCTCTGAGTCAGGACTGGTCAAAGTCTATGCTAATATATTTAGGATTTTGGATTAAACCTTGGTAAAAGGAAATACAATTTATAACTTATGTTGGAGGACAAATTTCACTTTTAGTGACCTTTAGGGTGACTTCCACTGTGGAGATTCTGAGCCCTCCTGGAGTGGCCAGGATGAACTAGGTGGGAGAGCTCACAGGCACCTAAGCTGAGATAGGGCATCTTGGTGACCAGGCGAGATTGGGTGGCTGGGAGCAGTATGGCCATCGAGAATCACGCTTGAGGATGAATGAAGCAGGTTAAAGCAAGAGAAGGATCCAGAGAAGGGCCCAGGCAAGGCCACAGATAAGAAAATAAGTCGCAAATGCAGACTCCAGGAAGATGTCAAGAAGCTAAGAAGCAGAGTGTTATGTAAGTTAAGGCAGGGAGTTCAGACCAGAGGCTGTGAGCAATGTAAGGTGTGTGCACAGGCGGCTGCATGACAGTGGAGTAGGCTTGGTGGCTTCAAGAACTTCAAGACTCAAAAGACTACCATTTTCTGGTTAATTTTATGGATATTGTTGTAAATACTTTTATGGTGCCAACAGGAAGACCTGAACTTGATTTTGATTACCTAGCTGACATAATCAACTTCTGCTATTAATAATATAAGGGAGTCATGGTGAAAAGAAAGGAAAATTGGACGTAACAAAAGTTATGTTCGTCCATGAAGTGTGCCTACCCAACAAATAGTGAACTTTGCCTCCTTATTTGGCCTGTGGGGACAGAAGAGTACGGTCCAGAGCAGGCCATGTGGCAACAGGCTAGAGAGCCATACTTTCTGATAACTAACTCTCTGCAAACAGGGTAGGGCAAACACGTCTTATGTGGGTACAAAAATGAATATGTTAATTAGAGACAAATATCTACAGCCAAATACAGTTAGACACTTGAAATGTTAAAGAAGTTAAGAAGCTTGACCAGTCCTTAAAACGACCTCAAAACGAAGCAGAGTTGCATGGTAAAATGGTCATGGCTCTGGAGTCCATAGACCTGGGGCCCTCCCTTGCCAATTTCTGCCAGCTTCAGTACCCAGCATGTCAGCCTCCATGTCTCCCAGTGGCTTTAGTCTGTTTCTTAAAACCAATCATGGCATCCAAAGACCTAAGCAATACCATCATAAGGATATTCTAATAAAGTTGACCCAAATGCAGAATGTAATTCCCAAGGAATCAATCGAGTGTTCTGAGGAATGCCCATCTCATGAAAATAAGTATGTACTCACCAAGAGACTTCTTACATGGGGGCATGTGCCCAATTGTATCTAAAAATTCTGTTATTAATATATTTACTTTTTGAAAAAGCTTTATTGTTTTATAAACATACCTCATATATTCCTTGATACTTCTTAGCAGTGATTTCCCTTTATAACTGTCTTTGAGTTTGTACCACAACAATGGAAGGAGAAGGTGACCTCAATAAGATAGAAGGAAGGCAATTCTAGGCTAAAAGCTTTGGCTGAAATCTCTTCCCTTCAGTTCAATTTTTGATAATATTAAAATAATCACCCTGAAATTCTCCTGTTACTATGTTGTATGCTTTTGCCAGAACCTACGATGACTCCTACCTCCAACACTCATTCAGTAAATATCAGTTTGGTGCCTGTTGTGTGCCAAGCACGGTGCAGATGCAATAAGGTACAATGATTTCTGCACTTATGGTGCATGTTTAAAGTGGTGGGGGGAATGCTTGATAAAATGTTAATAGGAACTAGAATTGTCAGGATAATCCCAACAGGGCAAGATCCATATATAGTTTCTCTTTTTGGTTGCTAAAACATTTCCCCTGGGCACATAATAAGAGCTAAATATGTACTTATTGATAATTTATAGGCAACATGGAGATAATAAAGAGGTCATTTATTGCTTTAGAAAAAATAAACTTCTGAACAACATGCTAATACCAAATGGATTAGATAGCTACTGACTCTTGCTATCCATATGGTAAGTATTCAATATCAACATTAATGTGCAAGTAAATTATGTCGATAAGCTCCCATTGTATCATAATTATGAGTACATTTGTTCATCAAACAAATACAGGCCCCATTAGTGGGGGATATTAGGGTAAATAGACACAATCCCTGTCTAGGAAAATATCACTGTCTCTCCTGGGCAGACTGAATATATAAACAGCCAATGGAAAGATGGGATCAAGCTCCAAATGTCACTTATTGTCCAGGGCTCTCTGAATTCATGGAAGATGATTGCCCATCCTGGTCTCAGCAATCAGGAGAGGCTGAGACAGGAGGTGACTTGGACACAGAGTGAGGCAGGGAAGAGGGTTGGGGCCAAGGAAATCATAGTATATGCAGTGCTTGGAATGGAGAGAGGGCATGGCATATGAATGTCTATTACTTTGGCTCCTTGTGTCATTGTCTAACCAATGGTAGACTGACTGCCTTTAGTGTTTTATCTTGGCAACAAAAAAAGAAAATGTTTCCTCAGAGAACCACTGGCTATACCCTCTATTCCTTCTGCTTCAGTGTCATTGCACTCTCCCAGTTCTCCACTCCCCCCTCAGTTGACTCTTCCCCCACCTTTGTCAAACATTCATCCATTCGGTATGCTTTTATTGAACACCTGCTATGTGCAGGCCTTTGTTAAGCCAGGGAACACAAAAAAAATAAAAAGCAAAGAAAAGTGCCTGTCCTAAGTTTACTTAAAAGTAAGGGAGATAATTATTGCACATGTATGAGAGAGAGGGAGAAAGACTGTGTTTATATTATATAATCATTTTACAGTGCGATCCCTGTAATAATCTGTGCAAGCTGAAGGTGACACTCAGTAAATGTCTGACTTTGGAATTTTTTTATGTGGCATTTGCCTAGCAAACCCTGATGCAGTCTTTCTTTACTTCACTCAAAAATATTTGTAAAATGTAAAAAAGACATAAACTCATATTAGCTTTGGAAATTAGGATGACACTCAACTAGGAAAACTAGAATTGATATTCCCATAGAGGATCTGGGAAGATTTTTCCAGAATCTAGAGGACTAACTTGTTTGATAAACATAATATGTGACACAAGAACAAGGTCCAGCCTTGAAAGGGTTTGTACCTCCCCGCCGTCTGCTCCCTAGCTAAAAACACAGGTTCTTTTAAGCCTAAAACCAGGGCAGCTATCCCTCTATTCTGCTGCCGATGGTTGAGGGGTTTTTGTTTTGTTTTTTTTGGGGGGGGAAGCAGCCAATGAGTTTAATTTCCTAGACCTCCCACACTCACACATGACCAAGTCCCTATCTTCCCCTTCAGTTCAATTCGTTTAAAAATTGCTAACCCAAGAAGCCACCTGGACAGGAAGTATGAGTTAGGACAAACAGTGATGCCTTACTTTCTAAGCATCCTAAGTACAATTCTGTTAATGGAGAAGAGGTAGGAAAAACCTTGGTAGCTCTGTGAATTTGGAGGAAGGGTGTGGTTTTGCACTGTTTGTCCTGGGGCTAGAAAGTCAGGCAGTGGTGATCTACTTCAGTCCAACAAAGCTACACAAAATAAAAACTGCTACACTCTAAAAATTGGCATCTAGCTGTAGATCTGAAGAGCAAATCCAAGTATGCAGTGAGTGGTGCTAAGAGAAAGTGATGTGTACTGTATTCTGGGAAATACTGAATATGTATAGCTCTCCAGTTAGAGTAAATTTTTAAAAATAACAAAGTGAGTCCCATTGGAAAAACATTGTATTCAAAGAAAAAGAAGGACCATTTGGAACACTTAGGGAAAGACCTCTTACAAATTATTTACTTCTGAAACCAAAAGAAAATATTACAGAACTACTTGACATATTCAATGGGATTTCTTTAAAAGACATATCTCTATGAAATAGGGCAGAAATTAATTAGGAAAGAATGAATTAAGATGAAAGGACAGTAGACTGAGAAAAAAGGGAAATGATGAAGACCACAAGACAACTAAAAATGCAATAACAATTAAAACCTGTGCTGAAAGCAATAGGGAGTATAATAAATTCACTGAAGAAAATAAGATCAGGGCTGTCATAAAACTTAGCATATATTTTAAATTTTCTCTATTAGAAAAACATTTTGAAGATAGAGGCTATGGCTTATTTACTTTTTTAATCTCAACAGTGCTTAGTCAGAGACTGGCACTAAATAATTGCCTTATGATCAAACAATTATTTCAATCATCATTTGCCTATTGAGGAACAAACAGTGATATGCCTGAGGTCACAGTGCCAAGAAGTGGCAGAGATCGACCTTCAGCCTGCACAGCCCATGAGGCCGCCTTAACTTATAACTCTGGAATTCACAAAATGCACTGAGGACCATTAGAAAATCAAGTCCCCACAGATACATCATACGTGGCTTAATGCTGAATCACTCTCCTTAGGCTAGTCCCTGTTCTGACCACCAACCTTGTCGCTCATCCTCCCATTTTTACCCTAACCTTGGTCTTTGGATTTAAAGTCTGACCCTGTCTCTTCTCAATAAGGTTCTAATTTCCTTCCCACACTCACTGACCCAGATTTCCAAAGTAATAGCCACCCCTGGTTTCACCTGGCTCTAAAATCTTCCACTTTAGGGGCCCACTGTCATCAG